CCTACCGCAGCCTCCGGCCCGGTGGGAGCGTCCCGGGCCCTGCCCCGGGGCGCCCTGAGGCGGGGCAGTGCCCACTCCCGCCGGCCGCCCTCACAAGGCCCAGGCCGCCTCCTTCCCACCAGGCCCAGCAGGGCCGCCCTCACACCTGCCCCGCCCTGCCATGTCCCGCCCGGCCCCACCCTGCACCGTGGCCTCTGTCACAGCCCACGCTGACGTGCTGAGCCTTCCACCAGCCATTGTGACGCCACAGGCGCCAGTCGGGCACGGCTTTGTTGGTGCCCGCAGCCGGCGCTCAGAGCTGCTGTAGCCTCTCGGGGAGCAGCAGCACATCCCGCTCGGGGAGCGTTGCGCGCCTGGATCGCCGTCTTGGCAGCTGCAGGCCACGATCACTGCGCAGGGCGACCTCGTCCGCCTTGTGCTTCATACCCTGTGCCCGTCCCTATTCTCGTCCTTGTCCCCTTTGTCACCCTCCCCTAAACCTCGCCCTCGTCCCGTTCCTCATCCCCACTTGGCACCCGGCAGCCCGCCGGGGGCTTCTTGCCCTTCCTGCTGCTGGGAGCTGCAAGCAGGGCCATGCCGTGGCTTCTGAGCAAGAAGCGATGGCAGTCGCCATCCAGCAGCACCAGTGGGCAGCCCTGGGCTGCCACCAGCTCCAGCAGCACCTCCCAGCTCCGGGAGCAGGGGCTGGGCAGGCTGCACCGCGCGGCCGCCTGCGGCGACCTGGGCTGGCTGAGGCGCTGGCGCTGGTACGTGAAGGTAGTCGGCATCGACAGGCCAGACCAGGAGATGCGGTGAGTTCTGGGCCACGCTGATGGCACCCCTTGGCTGCTCCTGAGCCAGGCTGCAGTAGTCCTGGGCAGCCCTCTCTTAAGGACAAGGCTTGAAAAGGGAGATTTGCCCTGTCAGCTGGGAGAGGGAACTCTGGAGCTTTTCACTGCTTGGAGCTGCCGGCCGGGCTCCAGCGCTGTTGGAAACGCGTGTTGCCCACCTGCCGCTTGGCCGTGGTCTCTCTGCAGGGCTGTTCTGCAGCTGCTCAGCCCTCACCTCTTCTCTTCTGCCCTCTGGCTGATCAGGGCAGGGTTGCAGCAGCAGCAGCAGCAGCAGCAGCAGGGAGCAGGAGGAGCAGAGTCTGGGCAGGGTCCCCAGGGTGCTGGGTAGAGACACAGCTTGGGCTCGTCCTTTGTCTGTCTAAGTTAAGAGCGTCTGTTTAATTTTTAGGACACCTCTACATCTGGCTTCGGCCAACGGCCATGCAGATGTCGTCAGATATCTGCTAAGAAAGAACAGCCAGCCCAACCTCGCTGACAACTTCAAGAGGACGGCCCTGATGAAGGTGTGTGGAATGCCTTCTGAGCTTGGAGCTGGGGCTTAGTGAGGGTGTGTTAAAGGGGAGGTGTCTGGCAGGATTCCTTGCACCGCAGGGCCATAGAAACACGCCCATTGCAATGGGCATGGCACAGGCCTCTGTTAGCTGATCTTTGCAGATGGTCTTCTATGGCAGCATTCAGGAGCTGAGGGAGTTGTGACAGAGGGGGATGTAAAAGTTGGAATCTTTCCCTTTTGGTGTGTTGTTCCCAGGCAGTCCAGCAGGAGCAGGAAGAATGTGTTGCTGTTCTGCTGGAACACGGTGCCGACCCGAATCTGGCAGACGCTGATGGCAACACTGCCCTTCACCTGGCTGTCCTCTCTAAAAACACAGCTGTAGCAGGGCTGTTACTGGAGCATCATGCCAAGAGTGATGCTCAGAACCAGGTAACCTTGGCATGTGGCTAAAACTGTTCTTTCCAACAGCTGCACAGCTTGTCTGTGTCTTTCTAATGGGGATTCTTTCTCCTTTTAGTGGGGATTTACCCCCTTCAAACTTGCAGCCTTGCAACAGCATGAGGAGATTCTGGAGTGCCTTGTGAAAAAAGCAGCTGACAGGCATGCTCAAGCCCAGGGGGAAAGGTGAGGGCTTTGTCAAAACAGCACCTGGGTCTTCTGGGTAGTCTGCAAGTGTGACCCAGACGAGGGGTGTGGCAATGAGCTGGGGAAAAGAAGGAGGAGCCCCGTGGAAGCAGTTCCCCGTGGGACTGGTAAATGCAGGTCTGCACTTGGCTGCTCTCGTAGCTTCGGGGCTCTCGTCCTTTGCCCGCTGAGGTCTGCAAGAAAGCCTTGTCTGTGGTGCCCTCCCCCCACACAGAGCCAGAGCCATGGGGAAACTTGCCAGTAGCTCAGCAGCGTGGCTGCTCTGCAGGCCAGGGGGGTTTAAGCCAAGGCAGAGTTGGTGCGTTAAGTGCTCTGAAGGGAAGCGTTGGGGGAAAGAGAAGCAACACTGTCCCAGGGGACACGAGGGGCTCTGGGGGCACAGAAGGAGAAAACTTCCTGCCATGGAGATGGTCAGGCGGTCGAAGGGCTTGCCCTGGGAGTTTGTGCAGCCACATCTGGGGGGACTTTGAAGAGCAGTGCAAGGAGCCCTGAACAGCACGGCCTGAGCTGGTAGCTGAAGCTGCTTTAGGGAGGCCCCTTGTAAGAGAAATTCTCCAGTGCTTCCATGGACTTGGCTTTGCTTTCCCGGAGCTTGTAGGAAAGGGGGGAGGAGCTCTTTTGAGAGCAAGCAGGGAAAAATGATGCAGGATCAGAGATGTTTCTGATGAAATTTTGGATGCTTTAGGACTGCTCTTGTGGTTCCTGGAAGCCATGAGGCTCACCTGGAGGAAGATAATCTGCGCTTGCAGGAGGAGTTGGACAGGGCTGATGTGGAGGTATGGAAAGCCTGTCCCCACAGGGAGAAACCTGGGGGTGCCTGTTGCTTCCTCTCCATCCTGAAAACGGACAAAACAGGATTCATTGTGTTCATTGGGGAGTAGAAGTGAAGCTTTGAAGGGACTTGAAATGCTTGCAGTTCTTTGGGCAGAGGGGATGCACACAGACATGCAGCCCCTGAGTTCTTCAGCAGCAACTGGCTCCTCTCTGGAGAAGCTCCCCTGACAACTGTGGATTCTTACC